TTCGAGATGCAAGAAACAGTCCACAATAACTAAACTGTAATACCATTACATTATATTTTCCTAAATGCATTAATAAAAATCTTAAAGACTCAAATCGGAGTTCGTGATAATTTTTCTTTAACTATTCCTAAAATAGGACGATATATATTAATAGGTTGATAAAAAATATCGTGAAATCATAGATCAAATAAAACAATCGGCCCTTTTCAGGGCCAAGATGTACAAAAACCAATCGCGCGCCCTCCACGTGGTGTACATCGGGTAACGCTAACGCAAATAAATATTGTGGTGGTTTGACAGTTATTTGACAGTTGTCAACTGTCAATATCGAGTTGTTAACATCAGTTTTGAACTCAGCTGCCTCAAAAACATATATTTATTTACATGTGGATATTATTAATTTTGATTGTCACATGCTATTTCACAGTTAGTTGACAGTTGTTAACTGTCAATATCGTCTTTGTCAATTTTGATTGTCACATACTGTTTGACAATTAGTTGACATCTGTCAAATGTCAATATCGAGTTGTTAACATCAGTTTTGAACTTACCAACCTCAGAAACATGTGGATATTATCAATTTTGATTATTGCTTGTTGTTTGACAGCTAGTTGACAACTGTCAACTGTCAATATTATTATATTGACAGTTGATTTGAATGCAGCGACCCCGAAAACATAAGAAGGTACTTCTTTTTTAACGAAGCAAATACTAATCTTTCGAGGAGATTGCCTTTTCAAGTAGTAAATATATGGTCAATCCGTGGAGCGTTGGAGCTCCGTAGGAGCCAAAGTAAACAAAATTGAGCTTTGTGCCCATCGAGACTTTTGCTCAGGATGCCGAAACGAACAACATATCTAACTTTTAGCCAATTTGACCGGGAGCCAATTTCCATAAGACTTGTGCGATGTTCTTTATTGTTTTTATACTTGTTAATATCTATTTGATTGAAAAGGGGAGTTAAGGGGGGTTTGTTAAACTGTGAAGACTATAATTTAGAATGCCACGCATTATATATCTTCATGCTGGTTTGTAGCCACTGGGCTCGACTTTTTTTTTAACAAAGTTTAATCAAAAGACATTTTCTAGCAAGCTGGATTTTTATTTGACATATCAGGATTGATATCATTTATAATAATAAATATTATTTGTAAATTTTTAGTTTATTCAAGTGAAATTGTTTACTAAATGGTTTAAAATTTAAATTTACTTCCTTTTGTCTATTATGTTTAATTTTCTGTTGTCATTTTATTATTATTATTATTTTAGATTAATATCAAAATAGTTTTATGTTAGCATTTCTTTTTATCTAATTTTTATAACCTCAAAATTTTCAGAACTAATTATATACCCTTCATAGTAAGATGTTAGTTAAAATTATTTCTTTTTTCCTAAATTTGTTTATATGTTGTTAATTTATAGTGTTTCTTTTTAACAAATTCTTATTATATTGCAAATGTCACAGTTTTTGACAATCTATTTTTTAATATTCAGTATTACTCGTAAATTTTTAAAATTTTATTTATTTTGATGGATATATTAAAAATCGTAACAGTATATACACATATTTTATAAGCTCTAAAAAGTGTGGTCTTAAAAAAGTATATACTGCATCATATGAACAATTTGCTCTCTTTTAGGATGAATTTAAACAATAGCGTTGATAACGAGTAGAAATTTTACAACAAAATCGTTTCGTTAAAATATCCTATAACGATTAATTTTACTCATACGGCTCAATGTATTTCAATGTCTCGCAAATTATTTGATGTTCCGTTATTATATTGTTTCGGATGATTCAACTAAAAACGCTTCTATGTAAGGGGTGCCGAAAATTATGTCGGAAATTTCAACCCTGATGTGATATTCGGGAAATAATTGGTTACGGTATAATTTCGATTATTTATTCCACTGCGTGAAACGCTGGAATGCTAAATTTCGCGGAATTAAGTGATCAAATCGGGATAGCAAATGGAAATGTGCGAATAATTTTTATTTCTTTTTTAAAAGATGGTATTTCGTGACCTGGAATTCGACGTTGAATGAAATTATTACTGATCCTACTCATTTTTTTCGTCAATATTTACATATTGTAATAATAATAATTTATTCACAAAAAAATACAATAATTATAATTACAAAGTATTATTATACAAATTTAAAAAAACGGTTTCTGTGAATAAAATATACTCGATAAGCGTATAAACGCTTATTTCCAAAAAAAAAAAAAATAAATATATTTAAAATCTAAAATAATATTTAAAAGTAACATAAACTACTAAAAACGATTTAAACATAAATAAATTAAAAATATAACATAATGTAGGTGCTATAGATTTTTTAATTTTATTATTTTAATATAAAAAACTCAAAAATTTAAAAATCTAAAATCTAGAATCTAAAATCTTAAAAACTGTTCATTTTTCTTTATATTCACCAATTAAATTAACATCCTGTATATGAAATTAATTATTTATTGAATTAAAATGTTTAATTTCATATGCAATTAATAATAAACACGTTTCAATTTCAGCTCAAGTTCGATGTTTAAATCGTAATAAAAAATGCTGACTTATTTCAAAATTATTTTCAAAACATTGAACTAGAGAGACTAAAATTGGAATAAAAATATTTTTCTAATGTACATTTAAATAATATTAATTGTTATTGTATATTGTTTATTCTGTGATAATATAAATGTAAATGCAAACGAAAAATAAAGAGATTAACTAACAACATGTGGTAGTATACTTTACAAAATTATCTCTAAAATGAGATTCATGAAAACCATCTTGTGGTATTAATTACAACAATTATCTTTGAAATCTATTCAAAAACTTAAAAACCTGCACAATCATTTTTTTTGGGATAATGTTTAATTTTAAAAATAACCATGGATCATACTGCGAGAGTTAGCTAAAATAAATTGTTTTAGTCTTTTTTTAAAAGTATACAAGTTTGATTCAGTTTAAATGCTCTTAGGAATAATATTGTACAGTTTGGGTGCCAAATAGGAAAATGATCTCTGTGAAACCACTTTGAACATTAATGGAGCTAAATAACGACATTTTTGTCTAGTATTATATTCATGATGTACTAGACCTTGAGGTTTACGAACATGATATTTGTGGCTACAGCAAAAAAAATACAATTATCTTATATCCATTATTTTTGTTTCGGTATACAAGGTTTTTGTAGGATATCTAGATTTTTTTGAATAAATTAACTTTAGAAATCGCCTTTGTGTGACTTCTAAAGAGTGAACGTGTGTTTTCAAAGCTGCACCCCACACAGTGATTGCATACCGAAGATGGCTTTCCACTAGAGCACAATAAAGGGTATTAAGATGGTGTAATGGTAAAATATCTTTTAAAAATTTGAATGTGTACTGTGTAGGATATGTGTAGGTTCCATTTTAAATAAGGGTCTATTATTACACCAAGGTATTTAATTTTATTTTTATTTGAAATGAAAAAAGAGTCTCTGCCATCAGTAATTTTTAGGTGATCAAACGGTGGTGCACCATATGAATTGCAGCTAAATGCAAACAATGTGTTTTTTCTATATTTACAGTCAATAATTTTTTTTTATTATTTTCTCCTTGTCTACGAGCATTACATTTGCAGCATGTTCCTAAAGATGATGCTGCACATCATACGAGTAGGTAATAAGCATTAATATGCCGTTTTATTCGTTTGAGTTTGATTAATAACAGTTAAAATATAAAATTAGGTCCTTTTGCTATTGCCATTGCGCATTATTTTTCTCTTTGACATTAATCTATAATCGCCCACGTAAACGATGGTCGCCATTTTCTTCTTCTCCAAACTGTAATACAGAAAATGTTGAAATTATTCCAACCTATACGTCCTCATTGTATAATATTTTTTTTTAACTGAATTTTACAATAAATTATAAATATTTTATTAAGAATATAGAATTTGTAGAAAACGAATAATAACATTTTATTAACAATGATTTCAACTAACCCCCGTAACAATCTTTTCGAAATTTATGTACAAAATATTTTATTTTAAATTTTAATCGTAACTTTAACTTTTTTTTGTAAATTTGGTACACATTTTAATAAATTGGTTTGAAGGTAAACATTTTATGTTTTCGTGGAAATGTTTTAAATAAACCGAATACGGCATTGCAGGTATACGCAAACACTCGTATTATACAAACAATAATGAAACTACTAATTTAGCCAGGCATTGATTTATAACGTTTCCTCGTTTTTGGTGAAATTGGAATTATTGACAGGGAATATTGGAGTTTGATGAAGAATTAGTTCTATACAAATATTCGGGGATGTATAGATTAATGTTTTACATTTTAAAATGATTTATTTGCCCATTGCGTCCATGTTTTAATCAAATCATATTCAGATTAGTACTCAGTATTCCTTGCAACAATAATTAACAATATTTTGTTTAAAAACATTATCAATAATGACAATGAGTGATAGTGAAGAAATAAAAGACGTTTAGACGTTTTTAGCTATTTTCGATAGTCTTTGAGGATTTAATTTTCTACTCTATCTAGTGGAGATCATTCTATCTTCGTTTCAAAATAAAAAAATGACCATCATGTTATAGTTTTGCAATAATTTTTTTTTTAATAAGCCAGTTGACAGAGATAGGCCAGGTGCCCATACAAAGGCAATTCTCTTACCAGAAATCTCATTACTACTGGTGAAAGACTAACGAGAAAACTTGCTATAGTAGAGCTATATTTTTAGTTGTATCAAAAATAAATACCTAACAAAATGGACTCTTGATAATTTTCATTCTTTTTCTCTTAGTTGGTACCTACCAAATTCCACAACTATATCGAAACTGACCATCACTACAGTTCACCCATTATATTTTTGATATATTATTTCACTATCTCTATGCAGCAATCGCCTGGATTGTTCTGTACATGTATACGCATAATAAAATAAAATAAATAAAATAAATTATATTACTAACAATATTTACAAACTCAATTTTTACTTAACCAAGTAAACCATGACCTAATACAATATTAGCACCTCCTAGTGGCGCTATCCCTAACGGAGCCACTCCCAATGGTGTAATTCCTTGTGGAGCAACTCCCAAAGGAGCGATTCCTTGTGGAACAATACCTTGTGGAGCGATTCCTTGTGGAACAATACCCTGTGGAGCGATTCCTTGTGGAACAATACCCTGTGGAGCGATTCCTTGTGGAACAATACCCTGTGGAGCGATTCCTTGTGGAACAATACCTTGTGGAACGATACCTTGTGGAGCGATTCCTTGTGGAACAATACCTTGTGGAGCGATTCCTTGTGGAACGATTCCTTGTGGAGCGATTCCTAAAGCAGCTGGGGCTATACCGATTCCCAGTCCCAGGCCTAAGCCGAGTCCACTGGGTCTGGCGAATACGTTCGCAACGGTCAAGAGAAAGAATATTAAAATTTTCATGACGCCGTCGACGGTCAATGGAATGAATGTTGTATTAAAATGAAATCAAGACTTTTGTGACTATTTATAGTGTGTTTGGTGGCATGCGGAATGTACTGCGAGTTTTTTAAATGGGTACGGTAGGTAGCGAAGGTGTAATATTGAGAATATTTGCATCATATTTTTGTTCAGATTGTCAAGGACTTACCCGGTATATAACAATAAACGGGTGGTGCTTGCCTTGCACAAATAGGTAGGTACTGTATGTTTACTTATAAGTGCAAATTTTTATGAATTCTTATTTTTTAAACATATAATTTTAATAACTTTATTGTAAATTGTGAGTAGATAATTTATTGAATTGAAAACCAGGTGATGTCCCCATTTTGAGAAATCACATGTTTCGGAAATATTGTGCCTTCACAGCGTACGTTCGCTGCTGTAGGATTCACTGAACCATTAATAAATGCTAATACACAGGAAACATGCACGTTTGCCAGTCCAGTCGTGTCAATTTCTCCCAAATTGACATCAAAAATACCCCAAAACCACAACTTTATAATTAAAAATCCCCCCAAAAAATTAAAAAATCCACAATTTGAATTACAATATTTACTTAAACCAAAAGTTTGTAAAGAATGATAGTTCGCTGTGATCAAATTTGTTAAAACCCCCAAAATATTGATAATTTAATAAAAAATCAAAAATAAACGCTCACACAACAATAACATTTATATTTATATTAGAAAACAACAAAAAATTGTATTCTTATTTATAAAAATAAATCTTAAATCTTAATGTGTAAATAAATCCTAAATCTTAATTTGCCAAATTAAATATCCCACAAAATACCCCCTGAAAAAGTTCCCCCCAAAATTTACCTCGAACTGATTAAAATCACCCAAATTTTGGGGAAAATCCCCCATATGACAATTCTGGAAACATGGCTAGCACCTCCTAACCGTATGGTGCTGCTGTCAGGTTTTTTAAATTCGTCTATTATTCTGACCCACACGGTATATTTTTTAATTCTGTTGTAGTCTCCATGAAATAATCTAAAAGGACCTAATACGGTTTCCGTAATCTTCTGTTCTTCTTTTCTTTAGACTTGATTATCCTTTTCAACACAACATGCTTCTTGTTCCTAACATTTTCTTGGTAAAAAAATAAAAAAAGTCAAGTTTGCTAAATTACGACTGAAATTAAATAATATTTTCACGATGTCGAATATAGTCTAGATCCTATTATTATAATATAGATTAGTAACCAGATGATTTCTTTGCAATTAAAAAAAAAAACATATTTTTAAATTTTTTTAACCAAAATTTGTTATTCTAGAAAGAATGTACCAGCCCATCTACCCTCCAAAGGAAATAAAGGTGCTGCAAGTAAAAATTATTAGCGGTTAAAAAAGTGTAAAAGTTTTATTTGATTCACAGTGTATATTATCTTACAGACTTTCTATTCGCATAGCCAATTTCTACAAAAAGAACTACACAGCTTGCGGCCGCTTTCTGAGTGAAATATAAACTGACAAGTGACTTCAGACGCCCGTATAGACAATGCTTATCTGTAGAAGTGATCACTTTGATGTTGAAAGAGCTCAGTTGCATTTTATGGTATATAAAACGGTATCGACATTTATTTGTTGTTAGTTATAAAGGAGAATATTTACGTTACAAAGTAAAGAATTACATATGAATCAAATACTGACGAAACGGAAGGTAAGCTCCACTGAAGATTCCAAGTTAGTCGTATATAATATAAAGTATGTGTGTTTGTATATATTTAAAGCCTGGCTAATTGGTTCCTACCACAGCCATTCAACTAATTAAAAAAAAATGTATATATTAGATAAATTCAACGGACCCAGGATTGATCCTTGTGGTACATCGATGTCCACATCATATGATAGAAATCTCTAACCATCAATTATTTTTAAAAATTTCAAATGGTGGTGAATATAAACTTAATATAAATAATATAATGCCAATATATTCCACAATTGTGACTTAAAATATCGAAAACACATTGTCTTACTACACAAAAGCTGACATTTTAAGTTTTCTGTTCAAATCACAATAAAAGAGAACTCACAAAATTGTAGTTCAACACAAACTTCATTAAATTTTCCTGTTAATGCAAGATTTCACAATTATTAATTTACCCTGTACAATTATTTGGAGTGAGGGTAGCCATATGTGAGTAGTAGGGATTAAGTGTAAAGGTTAAAGAAAAGGTCCTTTATTTCTCACAAGTCAATTTATTGGCGACCGGTTTCGAAGTTGTCACTTCATCATCAGGCACACCTAAATGGAATGTCAAGGAGTCAGTTGTAATAAAAACAATTATAAAAGCATGAACGGACTTTAACATATACAAAATAACAGAAAAAACACAAAAGAAAGTTAAACAATAACCTTGACTCACCTTGACTAATTCCATAAAGGAAGCGCTACAAAAAGTTTAACAGAACGAGTTAAAAAAGTCATGTGTAATAAGTATTTTTTTAAAAAATTTTTAATGTAGGTTAGGTTAAACCACCAGATGTCATCAAGACATCTATCTAGATAGATGTCTTGACAGTCTGATAATTTTTACTTTTTTACTTTTTACTTTCAGTAATTAACATTATTTCCTTAAAAATTTTTAAACTGTTTGTGCTTGTAAAACTATTTTGTGTTGTTTAGTTAATAATTGTCTTAAATGTGTTTTAATTAATTATTTTATTCAAAAAGACATCTGGTGGTTTAACCTAACCTACATTAAAATTTTTTTTAAAAAATACTTATTACACATGACTTTTTTAACTCGTTCTGTTAAACTTTTTGTAGCGCTCCCTTTATGGAATTAGTCAAGGTGAGTCAAGGTTATTGTTTAACTTTCTTTTGTGTTTTTTCTGTTATTTTGTATATGTTAAAGTCCGTTCATGCTTTTATAATTGTTTTTATTACAACTGACTCCTTGACATTCCATTTAGGTGTGCCTGATGATGAAGTGACAACTTCGAAACCGGTCGCCAATAAATTGACTTGTGAGAAATAAAGGACCTTTTCTTTAACCTTTACACTTAACCTGTACAATTATTTTTTATACCATTGGATAGCATTTTTTATAGGCTTTTCAGTGATGTATCACAAGTAGGGCCAGTAGGGGTTTGCTATTTAAACTTTTTTAGTTGGAGTAGGTGGAGCCTAGGGGATATATGGTGGTGAGTTATCTTTTATGTCATTTTAGTTCCTTTTCCTATCCTAGAATTATTTTTAAGCAATTTTTTATCATTTTGCGTTTATGAGATATATTCCATTATACTTTTAAATTGTCAAATCGTATACTCATCATAAGTGTACAGAATAATTGTTTTATTGTTGTTTTGAAATCAGCTTCTTTTAAAGTGCCACTGGTCTTCTATGAGGAAAATAAAAATACTCATAGAGAGTTAGTTCTGCAAGAATTTAAATTTAGTTGATCTTTTATATCCACTATACAAAGTGAGATCAAAAATATTTTGTCCTTGCACTATCATTTTTTACGCTATTGCATCTTACGCTTTTGTTGTCTTAACGCTATTGTATCTCGTACGAAGAGAGTAATTTTAAAGGGTACACAAATTAAAGAAAAAATTTAATTTTTTTCCATTTTCCATTAAATTTAATAGCATTTATTCTCTTAAATAAATTTTCATTTTTGGTATATACTTGTTATCTTCGAGTTCATCTGTTTTGATCGTGACATAATAGTATTAACAGGAGTTAAATAATTGTGTTTAGATAGCCTAGTAGAACAATCTCAATGCAAATTATCTTGGAGGACAACGGACAGTAGCAATAGATGGCAGTAAGCTCCATCTTGTCCAAGTCATGTCTTTGATAATTTTGTCGTCTTCTACCGAACCATTAAACTGTTATCGAAACCTAATAACGAACGTAAATTCTATATTTACTAATACTACAAATGATCTGGCGCCCGAGTAACTGATCGTTTGGATGTCATTGGTAAGCGTATTTTCTCAATATTATATGCTATTTTGTCTATAGATACTTCAGTGGTCTATGTTGTCCTGAATTTTCGTTAAGTCAGTTTTCTTTATTGATTACCTAAAAATCTGGACCCTTCTTAATCCCCTCTATTTCGTCTCGTGGTTCTCATTGAAATTAAAGACAAACAGATCTTTTCATTAAAGACATTCTTGTAATTTTGTACTACTCAACCAGAAGACGATTTTGCTTTAATCTCTAGCGAACTCAACCCAATTTGATTAAAATTTTTGTAATTAATTAGAACGGCTTTAATTTAATCTTGAATTGTAAGATTCCAAAAATTCAGATGGGCACTTTACAAATACCGAGAATTTAATGAAACCCAAAACAGTTGGAAAATGGATTAAAAAGAAAACTTTTCCTTTACCGAGGAAGAGGCGCTCTTGAAGTTTCCGTACCTTGAACTTATTTTAATATCAAAAAGTATTCCGGCTTTGTTTTCTGTTGAAAAATTGTTGACAAATTTCAATGTCATAGGAATATAATCATCAGTCATTCGTTTTTAATGCTCAAAAAAGAAGGCACGTTTTGTTCCATTTTTAACTTCTGTATTAGTTTGGAAATATCAAAAATATTAAAATAAATGGGTGGCAAATAGTTATTTTAGATACTACATTGTGTATTCCAAATTTATGAGGCAAGAATAATATTCTGTAATTGTTTTTAATATTCTTGACATGGCGAACATAATTGATTAATATTTCTGGAGACATTCCTGCAACAACTTTTCGTATGACATACTTTGAGACATCGTGGCAGTGACATTTCTCCTTTTTGCTTCCCCTTTCTCCAAAACATTTCCAAAAATTGAATCGACAACATATGGGTTTAATATTTAATCCCTTCAACTTTCAAAAGAAAATATATTGATTTAAAAGTAGGGTCTATTTTTAGCAGTAACTAAAAAGCAGAATATATTTTGTATACCAGAGATTTCTGGAAGATTAACTTACTATTTTACCTCTGCAAAGTTTCATTTAT